CCGGCCACTGGAGGCCGCCATGTTGGGAGGGGCGGGGGGGCAGATCCCAAATTTACGGGCCTGGAACGAGGGAATTCTCAAATCAAAGAGCTTGGGGGGCTCAGCCCCCAAAGAGGGGGCGCCTGGCAGTGCTCAGAAGGGACCCAGATGGTGTCTAAAGCTCAAGTGAAAGTGCCCGGAGGGGGTGAGACCCCAAAATTCCACGGTTCTAAGGACGCTCAGGGAATTCTGTTGGGACCCAAAATCCATCTGGAGGTGGCCAAAGGCGGGTCTCATTCCCTACTCAGACACAGCTCAGGGTCCCCCCACAACACCAAATAAACCTTCCGGAACCACGAGTGCTCGGCTTTTCCTAATAGTTTAATTAGATTTAATGATTTATTGCTCATCTGCGAGGATTAATATTGCATTCATTAAAAATCATTCATATACAAAATAAACCTCTCCCTGCTGCTGCCCCCAGGCCCCCCCTGCCATGGCTTGTCCAGACACGGAGCCCTTGCGCCCCAAAAGGGTGGGAAAAGGGGGGGCCAGGATTCCCAAATGAGGGAGAATCCTGGCTCCTGGGAAAGGGGGGATGCTCCTACTCCCAGTCCATCATCACAGGCGCCCTCCCAGCTCGCTGAGCCCTCCCAGTGAGGTTTGGGGGGTGGTGGAGGGGAATGTGATCCCCAAAATCTACAGGGAAGGCGAGGCGGGTGATCCCCAAAATCTGTGGAGCAACCCAGCAACATTCCAGGAGGAAACCAGGCAGGGTGGGAAGGGGATGAGAGGGGGGTGATCCACCAGCACCTCTCCCATCCCCCTCCTGTCCCCCACAGCCCCACAAATTCCCAGGGGGATCCCGGGGACGGGGGAAGGAGCGGCTCCAATCCCGGGTTCCGCAGCATCTCCATGACCCCTGTACCGGGAGATGCCGGAATTGGGGCTCTTCCCGCCCTCCCCGGCGCTGGGGCAAGGACAGAGGCGGTTTGGGGAGGGGAAAAAGAGCCAAGAGAAACCTCCCGGGCTTGGAAGGAGCGTCTCCCACCCCCAGGAAAAGCTGCGGGAATGGGGAAGGGAAATGTCAGCAGGGGTGGGGTGAGGAAGGGGCTGGAAAACACACGGGAAAGGGACTGGAAAACACTTGGGAAAGAGGCTGGAGAACAGCTAGGGGAGAGCTGGGAGGGCCGGGACAGGGAGCAGAGGGCCCAGGGTGTGGGAAAGGCTCATCTCTGCATCCAGC